TTTCTGGCTCACCTGGATCCATAAAGAGCACTTTATGACCACTGAGAATTGTGACAAAATCTGTGGTGAGAAAAAAAAATTATGAAAATTAGCATGACAAAAATAAAAAATTAAAAGATGCAATTCTTATCTTACATTTCTAGCTAACAAGATTTTTTTATTAACCACATGACACTTAAACCTTATTCTGTACAAAATATATTAATTGGGATTTGGTTAGAATAGTTAAAAAAAGGACAATCAAATAAATTACTTCATAACTTTTTTTTTTTTTATCCTCAACACCACTGATCGGCTCGTTTGCTGCTTGGGCGATTGGTCACGTCATTGTTATGCACTGTTGCCAAGTACTGGGCATGTTTTGGCTCCTGAAAGTATCTGAACCTGCTACAGTGCTTGTCAAGGCTGGTCTTGAAAGCGCTCACACTCGGTGCCATTACAACACTCTCACACACTCTGGCAGATTGTTCCAAGAGTTCACAACTCTCACTCAGAAAAAATTACCCCTCACATTTTTCTGAACTTGAGGCTTCTTTAACTACCGAGCTGTGACCCCCAGTTGGGCGAGTGTCCGGCAGCTCCAGGTAAGGACACTCGACGAGTAGTGCCCTTTGAGATGTTTATACACCTCAATTAGGTCCCCCCTTGCTCGTCTGCAGTATAAGTAGGTAGCTCTCAAACAGGGAGGTACTAATGCCTGGGAAGATATTGGAAGTATAATGTGTTGTCTAATGGTAGACCCTGCTGCCATATGGCATCGCGAATATTGTGACAAAGTCCTAGGTTGCTGATCTGCTTTTCTGCCTCATTTACACACAATTGCAGGGTCTCATTTGTTTCTCTTACTATTGACAACACAACATACAGTACATATATCATTTCTCACTACCTATATGTTTTTATATTTATTTATGGCTCTTTATTATTACAGGGGGTATTATTATTATTATTTATAATTTTTAAACAAAATTATTATTATTATTTTATTTTATTATAATTGTTATTTATTTTTAAATATTGTTATTATTTTTATTATTAATATCATCATCATTAATTTATTGTATTATATTTTCATCCCCCAGGCCTTGATGTGGGCCATTAAAAATTACCTGTGCCCGGGTGGGCTAATGCCCGGTAAAAAAAAAAAAACATATGCAGGCGTTCTAATCTCTCGGGGTAGCCGAAGTGCTGGTACCAGCCTGGTGGTCCTCCCTTGGACATTTTCAATCCACTGACAGTCCCTAGCATATCTCGGGGACCAGATGGGTGACAGTATTTCAGGCAGGGAAGCACCTCACTCTTGAAGATCATTGCCTGATTCGCCTTCTCACAATGGCCCGAGAACTTGAGCCTCAATTAATGCAGTTTTTTCATACCGTTGGGACATATGATATGCCACCTTATCATTGGTACGACCCAGGTGCAGCCTCTTACACTTCGTGACATTGAATCTTAGCAGTCATTTCTTCAACCATGCTTGAAGTTCACAGAGATCCTTCTGCAGCCAATGTATATGTATGCTGTCCTTTTCCCACCTTGATTTTTAAGGGCCTACTGCCTTCCCGCATTCCCAATGTTTACATTCCGTGTTCTAATATTCACATTTACACTGAGTTGCTGCAATATTGTGGTTGTCTGTATATTTCATGGTGTATGGTATCAGATGTGCATAGCAGGTCTAGGATCACAGCCCATTTTGAGGTGAACACATGACTGTGTACAGAGTTGGAACACCTACAGTTGCCTAGCTTATACTATAGATGGGCAAGGAGTGATTTGATAGAAGCCTATAAGCACCTCAGAGGATATTACTCTGTTGTGTGTTCATATCAGGATTTAGCATATGTCCAAGGTTGAAAAAGTCATACTAATATCAGAACTGTATCAACTTACCAGTAAGGTGAAATACCGACTTGAATCCTAGCCCAAACTGTCCAACTTTCAGAGGATCATCTTTTTTGATGCTGTCACTGAGTTTACGTATACCATGCCAATCTTCCTTGGTAAAATTTGCATTATTGAAGAGACAGAGTGCAGGTCCCTGTAGAACGTGCAAGAAAACAAATTATTCTACAAATTATACTTCAACAAAACATTGGCTGAAAATAAAAAAAAATTCAGTAAATCCTGACTTATTATGCTAGAAGCATTCCTAAAAAGTACCATACATGTATTAGGTATATGAATATGAAAAAAGGGGAGGATAAGTCACCTGTAAGGAAGAGATAAAATAACCAATACCAATTTACCTTTTAATTACTCATAAAACACAGAATACACCCAAGCCATATTAAAAATAAGGAAACAATTAAATATATTTATGAAATAGTGGTTTAACATGCAAAAGTAAAGACTATGCAGGTCAAAAGCATAAATGCATAGTACTGTACTGGTGGTATGAGTTATAAGCAGTGAATTACCTTTCACCTGATCTCAAGGTTAATGAATGTGTGCTTTCTTGCTTCCTCATCCTGTTTGGACTAACTTGCATATTCAGACCTTCATCACAAAACCTATGGAAACTAAGCATCCCAAGAGTTTTTCTATTTACAGCTTCTTCTGATTGACTTTCAGGGACTCCATACACAATTATGTTTTTACAATCAAATTGATCCTTTAAATCTTCCTTTCCAATAACAGTATCGGTCATGATTTTCTAAATCCTGTCCCAATATTACTTCTCTATGCTGCAATAATTGGTAAGCAGCCTGATTGGTATATGGAGGTTTTCGATATAAAATGAATCTGAAAAATTCATCAATTGTGTAATGTTTTAGGTCCATGTAAATTTTCACAATGATTTTTTTAAAGTATAGTTTGGTAATACAAGACAGAAACATCATACAGCATCTTGTGTAGTTTAAGTTAATGTACGGTAAATATTTTGTTAATTTATATAATAAATGATACGAGAATGAGTTCCAGGTTGACCTAAGTTTGAATAATTATTAAAACAAAGAAAACTAATGGAATCCATCAAAAACGCATCACGAGAAGTTGTTTGTTTTGATTTCAGTCAATCAGAACAAAGTGCACTACTCAAAAAAAACACATGTCACCCTTCAGCCATGTCCTGTGAGATGGCTTTTCATGTTGGTATTGTTACATGTAAGATGTGGAAAAATAATTTCATCATTCTAATGTGATTTGGAAATACAGTACAGTACATGATTTGGAAATACAGTACAAACACACATAATCTTCACTACACATCCTCATAATCTTCACTACACATCCTACTAATCTTCACTACACATCCTCCTAATCTTCACTACACATCCTCATAATCTTCACTACACACACACTCATAATCTTCTCTACACCTCCTCATAATCTTCACTACATCTCCTCATAATCTTCTCTACATCTCCTCATAATCTTCACTACACCTCCTCATAATCTTCACTACACCTCCTCATAATCTTCACTACACCTCCTCATAATCTTCACTACACACAGTCATAATCCTCACTACACATCCTCATAATCTTCACTACACATCCTCATAATCTTCACTACACATCCTCATAATCTTCACTACACATCCTCATAATCTTCACTACACATCCTCATAATCTTCACTACACATCCTCACATGTTACAAAACAACCAGAGAGATTGAGGAAGATTCTAGAATCTTCAGGGGGAGAAGAAACTTATAGCTCGTGTTTCAGTTTTGGGTTTAAACTGAGAGGCCTAACTAGATGAATCTTCAGATGCACTACTGACAACCACCCACTGACTCAACTTTAAACCATTCTCTCCACAGAAAATAAACTTGCCTTTTACTTTGTAATCTTATTTTTATAGTCTTGTATGATGTTTCTTTATTTCCAAATCACAGAATGTAGATCTTTGTGAATTGTGTGAGAATAAATATAGGTGTGTGGTGGAGATGATAATGAGAATGTGTGTGTGTAATTGATGATGATGTGAGTGTGTGTGTGGTGGCGATGATATGAGTGTGTGACTGATGATGATGTGATGTGGGAATGATGTGTGTCAAATGTGTGTAGTGGGGCGTGCAAGTGCTGTGGAGATAGGAAATGTGAAGTGTGTGTGTAGTGGAGATGATGTGAGTGTGTGTGAAGTGAGCCACGAGAATGTGTGTAGTGGAGATGATGAAATGTGTGTGATGTGGAGATGTGGTGTGTGTAGTGGAGATGATGTGAGAGTGTGTGTGGAGATGATGTGGTGTGGTGGGATAGTGTGAAGGTGTGTGTGTGTGGTGGAGATGTGGCGGCAGGGGAGCAGTGTAGTGGAACAGTGTGAGTGTGTGTGGTGGGGTGATGTGGTGTGTGGGGAGATGAGTGTGTGTGTGAGCAGATGTGTGTGTGCAGAGGTCATATATGATACCGTTTATACAAACATGGGCCGTACTGGTCGGACATGCAGATCGCTCTCCTACACCTGCCTGGCTGGACACAGACGGTCATGGCTCATGGAAGAGCTTCAATGAGCAGGTCGCATACTACAATGATGGAATTGGGTGGTGGATGCAGCAGTCACAGCAATGTAGCCCAGGGTACTGCTGGAGGACTGTTGACGGATTTGGAACTGTCTAGCAGCAGTGAATGTGAAGAAGAAGAGCAATTTAAAGTTGCTAATAGCAAAAAGAAGAATAAAAGGAGAAGTAGAGAGGGTACATGCAGTTAAGATAATATTTCCCACTTGGTGGAAAAGCGAAAGAAAATTGATGGTGCAAGTCATTCTTCAACCATGATCAGTACAACGAGTGAAAACCCCATTGATTGTTTATATGGCAGTAACTCTTCAAGGAGGCCACGCCTTTACTTCCCCAAGAATAATGGCATGGATTTTCATGATAAGGTAAAGTGGTCAGTTAGACTCACTAAGCGCCATCAAGGGTATCAAGTGCTAATTAAAGAAGGTAAACATATTCCTTATATTACTGTGAAGGATGAAGAAGCAGTTAGATATTAACTACAGAAGGTTTTGAGAAAGTAGTGATGGAAAAGCCTGTGGAGTCCATTGGGAAGTGTACTAAGATCATTCTTTTTGATTATCCTGTTTACTTTGACCCCGAGGATGTGTTGGCTGACGATAGATTTTTCTGGCCAATAGACGTGTAATTAGATTTGATGGAGAACTAGTACCTAAGGCGCATTTAGTACTTTCAATCAGTTTATTTGATGAAGAATATTTTATGAGATATTTGGAATGCAAACAGAGTTTTTGTACCAACAAACTCCAAGCATTATGCTATAAGTGTTGCCAAGTAGGGCACATATTGGAAATACCATCTCTTATGATTACCAATAGATTTTGTGGAGAAAAGCCGCCAGATCGGAAATGTATGATAAAATTAAGGCAAGGAAAATTGCTAAATACTTGTAACAATTGTGTGGAGAGGGCCTTAACAATGCCAACTTGGTTGTGTCCTAAAATAAATCAAGAGGATAAAGGTGACGCTGTAAGGAGCGATGTTGCAGAGACACCAAGTGCTGTAAATGTGTGGGAAAGCGTATGGAAATACATAACGCAGCAGCACAAAAGGACATAGGTAACAGGGACAATAACCTTATAGCCCCTAACATTCTAGTAGAACTTTGTAAGGAGATTGACGAGTTCAAACAAGCAGTATTGGATATCAAGAAATGCTTGGTGAATCATGTGCCATATAGTGATGTTGCTCTTGTTAATAAGGATAGTTCAAAAGAAATTGAAACATTAGTATAGATGGAATCAAATATTATGGATAGCATTCTAGAGCAAAATGGTAATCAAAGGCTGCTAGGAAATAGAATTGGTTCGGTCTCTAAAGAGAATCTAGTAAAACGAGGAAATGCTTGGTGATCTGATGAGCATTCTTGACTCTGTTTTGGAATACAGTATATGGAAAATCCAAGGGATGACGTCAAATAGAATGTTCTTATTTCGGTGAAGAATATGAGGGGGAAAATTTATTGTAATGGATCATAATGTCAGCTTAATTTCCTGGAATGTTAATAGTTTGAAATTTTTTTAAAGGATCTTCATGCATATGTTGATTCTAGTAGTATTGATGTCATAGCTTTACAACAGGTTGGGACAAACAGAATATCTTTGCAACTACAGTGAGTTCTGCTATAACGTGTGTTTTGACAACGCGAATTGACTCTAACGCGATTTATGAATAGAGGAACGATATTTGTATAACGCGAACGCTTGTTAGCTGTAACGCGAGTTTTACTTACTATTTCTCCAATTTTGTGGTATTAACTGTGAATATGGTAAAGAAGAATATCTCCAAGAAGCGTTCTGGTGATCGCATTCCCAGTGATGATCGTAAAAGAAAAGCTATAACCCTTGAAGAGAAGCTCGATGTTATCTACCTCAAAATCACCCTTCTCCCCATCAAGTTATATTCATATTTTTTCAAGGTAAAGTGTTACATTTACTGTATGATTTCATTATTAGATATGAATGTAACATTTATTTAGACTGTGCTATCCTTTGTGTTAGGCTAACTACTAAATTTGTTTTCGATTTCGAGTAGTAATCTGCACCTAGCCCTATTTTCTCCATAAGCCCTGTTATTTCTATTACGCGAATTTCTATAACACGATGTTTTACAAGAACACAACTATCGCGTTATAGCAGAACTGACTGTAAGAGGTGATCAAAGTTTTGAATTACCAGCTGATTTGACTGGAAATTGTAGAGGTTTGACGACTTATATCAAAGATGATATTCCAGCATCATTTCATTCCGCCCTAAAAATAAACGGTACCGAGTATATGTGTGTTAGTATTACGCTTCAAGATGCTACACTGTTCAGTATTAATGCTTAAGTGCATGCTGAGTCATTGACAGTTGATGATCTGCCTGACATTATTTTTGCTGATGATTGTTTACTCATTGGTGATTTGAATGCTAGGAAGAACAATCTTGGCAGTAGAGGCTCTCAAAATCTCAATGGAATGATTCTGAAAAATATCTTATGACTCAATAGAAGATGCTAAGGTCCTTTAGAGCTGGTGAGCCGACACATGTTATAGGGGGGAAGACTTGATTATGCAATACTTTTTAATATGTTAG